TATGCTTGATGAAAAAAGTTTTGGTAAGCAATGACCAAGCCAATGAAATTATTTAAGGTTTAATTGATTAGTTTTTTAGACAATATTCCTCATTCTGGGTAACATCTTCTAACCATATCTATGCACTGGTGGAAGGAGGATGTTTGGCTCAACTTCTTTTTATTTTTTTACATTTTACTTATTTTTTCATTTTATCTGAGGAGGAGTGAGACAGATCTTCCCCCCACTGATTTGCTCTCTACATGCTGTCAACACTGAAGCAGCTTCTGGTTGGAGCCAGGAACCTTGAACTCAAGCGCATTCTCCCACTTGGATGGGGAGCACTCAAATATCTGAAATCACCTGCTGCTTCCAGAGCCTAAAGCTCATCCACTGCTTCCCAGGCTCTCAGTGCAGGAAGCTAGAAGGGGAGTCAGGAACAGCACTGGAACCTACGCACCTTTCACATGCCAAGGGGTTTTTAATCACTGCACCGAACACTTGCCTCTGCTTCTTTAGCTTACCTCATGAAGCACTCATGTGATGCCATAAACAACGACTTCTGTTAACTAGTTAACCTTCATATAATGCTCACTTATATGCAAGACGCCATTCTAGATACTTTATTATATCATTTCATTTTAGTAGAAGCTATATAATGTAGACATCATTATCCCTATTTCCATTTCTAAAGATTCACTTATTTTTCTTTGAAAGGCAGATTTACAGAGAGGAGGAAGAAGGGGTTGGGAAAGAGAGAGAGAATGAGAGAGAGAAATCTTCCATCCACTGGCTCACTCCCCAAATGTCTGTAACTTCTAGAGCTGAGGGGATCCAAAGCCAGCAACCAGGAGCTTCTGAGTCTCCCACATGGGCACAGGAGCCCACAGATCTGGATAATGTTCTGCTGCCTCTCCAGGGCATAGGAAGAGATATGAATCAGAAATAGAGCAGCTGTGTCATGAACCGTAGCCCATAGGGGATCTCGTGCCACAAGCCGAGGATTAGCTTGCTGTGCCACCACACTGGTCCCTAGTCCCCATTCTTTCCATTTTGTAAATGAACAGCTGTAGTTTATCAAGTAAACAGCTTTCCTACAGTTTCATTAGGAAATAACAGAGCTAGATGGTGATCCCAAGCCGCAAACTTGAAAACTAAACAATATGCTGCACTGTCTTTAATCCTAACACCCACTGAGTGTTTCTTTATGTAATTATCTATCTATCTATCTATCTATCTATCTATCTATCTATCTATCTATCTGTCTACCTATCTACCTATCTACCTATCTACAGAGTTACAGAGACAGATGAGACAGAGAGCTCGCTCCTTCATCTGCTCATCCATTTTCCAAATGACTGCAGTGGTCAGGACTTGGCCAAACTTTATCAGGGTTTCCCATATAGAAGCAGGGGCCCAAGAACTTGGATCAAGTCTCACTGCTTTTCCAGGTGCATTAGGAGGGAGCTGGAATGGACAAGAAGCAGCACTCACCTGGGATGCATAAGCTGCACATGGCATCCCAACCCACCGCACTACAATATTACATTCTAGACTAAATTCAAGGAGGGATGTGCATTTCTAAGGCTATGCAGCTATGGGAGGGGCAGGACTCGGCTTCTAGGAACCCACAGGCATCTAGGAGGATAGAATCTCCTGAGCCTGTTGCTGCAGAATCGGCACTGTGTGCGGCACCAAGCACCCATGCCCAGCAAAGCTTATCACCTGGACACAGTGTGCATGCAACGCAACTGCTTCTTTGTTCTATTTAACAAGCTTCTGTCCTAGCAAGGCATGTCCAGGCACAGGTTTAAGACAAAAACACGGATAATCATAGAACATTATCCAGCTTTTGTGAATGTGCTTTATAGTTGAGGAGATGTTTTCCTTCCTGTCACTTTAATCCTTTTGTGTTATCAATAGAAAATTTCACTGCAAAACCAAAGACTGATTTGAGCAAAGAAATTCTGTTAATGTAAGGTAATTGTAAAACTACAACTGACAGAATAAGGGATGCATTTTATAATTCTTATCATTGTTCTACGTTCTGGCCAATGTTACTCAGGGGGTTAACATATGAAGAGGAAATCATTGAATTCAAATGCTGGTTCTGTCACTTATTAGTTATATAATCTTTACAAGTCATTCACAGCAAAAGTAAAGTGGAGAAAAGAAATTCTTAATGCAATTTACCATCCCTCCTCCTTCGTTGTGATAATCACATTCCATTATTTATCTTTCTGTAACGTTCTATTTTAAAGTATAAAAGTCAGAACATATCACAAATCTTTTTTTATATATTTTAAATATTTTATTTATATAAGCTGACTTTTCATGTCTTTCATAATACAAATGCAGATAGCAGGGGCATGCGAGAGAAGAGAAATGAAGAGACAGACAGAGAGTTCTCCCCTCCACTGGTTCACTCTTCAGTGTTCAGTGGCTTACACTGGTACTGAGCTGAAAGCTGCTGCCAGGAAGGCACTGCAGGCCACCTGAAGGCACAGCAGGAACCCAATTCCTTGAGTCATCACTACAGTCCCCCAAGGGTGCACACTAGTAGGGAACAGAATTGGTAGCAGAGCTGGGATTGGCTCAGGTAGTCCAGACAAGGATCCCAACCAATGCTTTAAACACTGAGCCAAATGAGTGTTCCAGTGGCTGAAACTGTGATACTATTATACACACTTCTAAAACTGCCAAGAAATCTGTGTAAGTTTACACATGGCTACTGTACCTCAGAAGTTTGTTTATTGGGAAAATAAGTCTAACACACATAAGAAATTTAAATGTTAATATTATTGGCATATGAATAAATATCAACATAAATGATATGGAAAAACAAACACTAAAAGAACTTGAAGGCAGAAAGAAAGGTTATGAACAGGAATTGTCAGGGAAATCTATGAAAATCCATCCTAGCCAGTTTTGTGCCCCAGCAAGTTATGCTGACACATACGATGCTGATATCCCATTTGACTACTAAGCCAAGTCCTGGCCATTCCATTTCCCATCAAGCTCCCAGATAATGCACATGAGAAAGCAGTGTTAGATGGCCCAAGGGTTTTGTTTCCTGGCACTGTCATGGGTGACCCAGTTGGAATTCCTGGTTCCTGGCTTCAGCCTGGCCCAATTTCAGACACTGTGGCCATTTGTGAAGTGAACCAGTGTATAAAAGATTGTTCTTTCCTTCCTGAAACTCTGCCTTTCAAATAAACAAGTGTCTTTTTGAAAATTTAAAAATGACAGATAAGTGTATTTTCTAGTTCATTAGAATTCTCTATAGTAATTTTAAAAACTTATTTGAATGACAAAAAAGATAGACAATCTATATTGATAGGACTGGGCATCAAAGGCATTGTCTGGTCAAAGTGGTTAATCAGTGGCAATGAAACACTATAGTGCATTTGTAAAACAATTTGACACAAATGTACAAGAAGCGAATTTAATTATTTATATCTTCTCCAATATATGCATTTCTATGGTAATTAAACCCAAGAAAAGAATACAAAGTACAAAAACAATCCAATGAATAAGGGGATGAGAGAAGTGAGAAGGAAAAGCTGGATACAATATAATGGTTCAATCAGAACAAAATGGTCAAGAAAAAAAATGCAACACAATGAACTAAGGTTTTCCATTTAGTTATCTGGGCCAAGACAAGTTTAATATGAAAACTGTCATAATTTTTAACACTTCTCAAATTCAAAGAACCTAGCTCTTTATCCCTAATATAGATTGTTAAATCAAAAATGAAGGGTGGAGAAGTTTGCACTGTTTCATAGTATATCTCACAGTTATGTTAATGAAAAAGAAAAAGGAGAAGACCGTGATGTAGAATGTTTTATACTTGTATGCATCAAGGAAAACTATACATGGGCACAATCCTTTAAAAGTAAGACTTTAATACTCAAGTTATGAAATGAAAATTAAAAATTGGATAAGATAAGCAAAATACAAGCAATTCTTAAATTGGAGGGATATAGAAATTCATAGTCAAAATTAAAGCATTCATCATCTAGTATACTTGTGTGGTAACTGATTTCTATCAGAGGTTCAGGAGCTACTGATCACTCATATTAGTGTTTCAAATCTTTAGACTGTGGATGTTTAGTGTGGGAATAAAAAGAATTAATAATGGAAATATTTAAATATGCACACAAGTATTTTCTTAATCAATAAGTATTAAAATGCAACTATTATCAGAGATGTGAAATTACTTTTGAAATCAACACATTAAATGAACAATGTAACTAGAGGAATCAAATGATACTGATCTTATTTGCTTTAGAAAAAAAACCATTTGAGCAAGAACCTCAGAGCATACCCTACATCCAGGACCTGGGGAGGGTGGGAAATTGGGTGGGCCTTCTCTCTTAATACCCCCCTTTAAACATGAATGAAACAATATGGAAAAAATAACAGTCTTACCCACTTTCCTGTAGCCCTTGAACCTTTTTACCCTAATTAACTATGTAAAGATTGTCAAAATATAATAATAAAAAAAAAGAAAGAATAAAATCTCAATCTAACAGTGGCAATTTATACAAAAGTTGAATTAAAATGGAACACAGGCTTAAATGTAAAATGCTAAACTGAAAACCTTTCTTGAGGAAATACGGGAAGAAATCATAATTTGGGGCTATCAAAGAAGTCTTAAACATGCTACCAAAAGCACTGTTCATCATACATATATATAACACACATATGTTTATATGTATATAGACACACATATTATATATACACACATGTATATATGATCAATCAATGGGACATTATCAAAATTAAGATTAAAATTGATGCAAATCTTAGAAATGAAAAGTAAAAATGAAGTTTCGGCACATTCAATATTATTATTCAACAATAAAAAGGTCATATATCACCATACACATAACCAAGATTTTGTAAATCTGTGAAAATACATGAAAATAAGAATCTTCTCTTTGACTTAGCAGTAAGTATGCTACCGTTGGTAGGACTGCCAGTTTTTCATTAAATGGAAGTTAATGATAAGTACTTACCAGCAGCCTCAAGAACCATTTGTAGTCTGGCTTTGGCCTGCTCTGCTGGTGGCTAAAAACCAAACATAAAAGACATACAGGTCAGACTGAGCAGACAGAACTTTTAATTAATGCACTGTTACATGACATCAATATTTATTTTATTTTATTTTATTTTATTTTATTTATTGTTGCTTACATTATATTATGTAGTACAGTTTTATAGGCGCTGGGGATCCCCCCCACCCCTCCCATACCCCTCCCCCCATGGTGGATTCCTCCACCTTGTTGCATAACCATAGTTCAAGTTCAGTTGAGATTCATTGCTTGCAAACACATGCCTAGCATAAAGTTCAGCGTCTTATTGTCCAGATAAGTTCAGTGGCCTCTTGGGGAGACCTTCTATGGTCTGAAGATAGGTCTAACAGAGTAAAGATCCAGTCAGTTAAAAGCCCCAACGAGGCCTCAGTATCATTATACAACATTATGGAATTAATTGACATAGTATTGGGTAAACAATATGTTAAAAATAATGCAAGTTCCATTCTTCAAAACATCTGGGTTGAGACAGTATCAATGACAGGTTCAAAAAATAACAAACAACCAAACAAAAAATTACTGGTTAAATCAAGGCAAACATGTGGTATCTAATCTTTTGGGATTCGCTCATTTCCCTTAGCATTATAGTTTCCAGTTGTGCCCATTTAGCCACAAAGAACTGCATTTTGTTTTTTCTAATAGCTGAGTAGTATTCCATGGAGTAGATGAACCAAAGCTTTCTTATCCAATCTTCTGCTGATGGGCATTTCGGTTACTTCCATGTTTTCGCAATTACTGATTGTGCTGCAATGAACATAGGGATGCATGTTGGTTTGTCGTAAAACAGGTGTTTTGGATATATTCCTAGGAGTGCTATTGCTGGGTCATATGGTATGCAGATTTTGAGTTGTTTGAGTGTTCTCCAGACTGATTTCCATAAAGGCTGTACCAATTTGCAGCTCCACCAGCAGTGGAGTAGGGTTCCCTTTTCCCCGCATCCTCGCCAGCAAGCGTCATTGGTGTTCTTGTTTATGTGGGCCAATCTTACTGGTGTTAGGTGGTACCTCATCGATGTTTTAATTTGGATTTCCCTTATTGCTAGGGAGCTGGAACATTTTTTCATATGTTTGTTTGCCATTTGGACTTGTTCCTTTGTGAAATGTTTGCCCATTTCCCGTGCCCATTTCTTGAGTGGCTTGTTTGTTTTGGTTTTTTGGTTGTTTTGAAGTTCTTTGTATATCCTGGAAATTAGCCCCCTATCGCCTATATCGTGTGCAAAGATCTTCTCCCACTCTGTGGGTTGCTTTTTTACTTTGTTGATTGATTCCCTTGCTGTACAGAAGCTTCTTAGTTTGATGAGGTCCCATTTGTTTATTCTGTTCTCAACTGCTATTGCTTTTGGTGTCCTTCTTAGAAAGTCGGTACCTACTCCTAGGTCTTGCAGGGTATTTCCTACATTTTCTTGCAAGAGTTTGAAGGTTTCTGGATGTAGGTTTAGGACATGACATCAATATTTAAAGAAGCTTATTATACTCCACACTAATATCCATCACATCAGTACTACCAATTTTCTTTCATCATCATAGTCAAATTATACCTTTTTTGTTATTAATCAAATGATGTTAAAATGTTCTTCATTTTTTAATTGTAAAAGATTTCCTGGGGTCCGGCATGGTGGCATAGTGGTTAAAGTGCTTGCCTTGAATGCACCTAGAACCCACATGGGCACCAGTTCTAATCCCTGCGGCTCCACTTCCCATCCAGCTCCTTACTGTGGCCTGGGAAAGCAGTTGAGGATGGCTGAAAGCCTTGGGACCCTGTGCCCGTGTGGGAAACCTGGAAGAGCTCCTGGCTCCTGGCTTCGGATGGGCACAGCACCGGCTGTTGCAGTTACTTGGGGAGTGAATCACTGGACAAAAGATCTTTCTCTCTGTATGTAAGACTTTGCAGTAAAAATAAGTAAATCTTTACTAAAAATAAATTTCCCTTATATTCCAATTGTGCAACATTAACATAAATAATTGAAATTTCATGAGGCAAAACTCACACAAGTAACAATATTCTCAAGATGTAATATTTCTCTGCATATGGAAATATGCAAGTTGATCTATTAGGATATAAACATAGTAGCAACATCAAGTCTAAGGCCTCAGGTATTTTGTTTTGCTAACAGGATTTGAAAAGAACAAGTGTGTCAAACATTGGATACAATGTAACTTTTGTTTCAAATTCTGAACTAATGGCTCTACAACTGCTCCCTCAGTGATTCCTAGGACAGTTGATGATGGCTGAAACTAACCTAACTCTGACATTTCTGAATAAGAGCTTCATAGTATCTTAAATTACAACATGGACTATACCAGGTTATGAAAGATCTGTTAAAAACTTTCTTAGTGCTTAGGACTTCATGTCATTATACCTTTATAAAAAATGAGAACAATAACCTAATAACATAAATGAATAACCTAAATAACTCCATGATTATATATGTAAACATCATTTCATTTAATGTGACACATGTGAATCTCTTGCTATTTGCAAAAAAAAAAAATCAGCTTGAATGAAAAGAATTAAATAATTGGATAAAAAAATAACATATACTCAGAAAGGCTTAAAAATTTCAATTGTGCCACAAGCATTTTTATCAGAAGTTAGGACACTGTTTAAGATTAACACCTCTCACTGGAGTGCCTGGTTTGATTCCTGACTGCTGACAATCCAATTCCTCCTAAAGACAGCCTGGGCGTCAGCAGCTGATAGCTCAAATACTGTGATCTCCGTTCCCCACCTGGGAGTTCATGCTGGGATTAGGGTTCTTGATTTCAGCACTGCCAGCCCTGGATGTTGAGGGCATTTGGCAAGAAAACCAGCAGACAGAAGACAGAGCTCTTCTTTCTCTCTTTCTCTCTGTATCACCCTCCCTTGTCTTTTCTGTCCCACCTCTCTGTCTTTCATAACCTTTTTCTGCTAACCACCGCATGCTTATTGCTTGACTTAGGGAAAGTCTTTTTAAAGATTTTTAAAATATTTATTTTGATTTTATTTACTTGGAAGGCAGAGTTAGAGACAGAAAAAGAGAGGGATAGATCTTCTATCTTGTCATTCACTCTCCAAATGGCCACAAGAGCTGGAACTGGCCAAAGCTGAAACCAGGAGACAGAAGGGTTTTTTTTGTTTTGTTTTTCCAGGACTCCCATGTTAGTGTAGGGGCCCAGGAACTTGGGCCATCCTACGCTGTTTTAGCATGCATTAGCAGTGAGCTGGATCAGAAGTGGAGTATCGAGCATCTAAACTGATTTCATGGGATGTTGGAACTGCAGGCAGGGGCCTAACATGCTACTCCACATCACAGGGACAGTCTGATATACCCAGAACTACAATAGCCCTAGAACAGAAGCCTGCTTGTTAAAATAGATGATACTGGAACACAGACAAGCCATTCACACAATGTCTATGGTGGCTCCGTGCTCAACGCAACAATACGAGTTGAGCTTTTGTAAGAAGATTTATAAACAGCAAAGCCTATCATATTAATTATCTAGACCATCAACAACATTTGCTGACTCCTGTTACAGAAGGTGGGCTTAGAATTTTAAAAACATAAGTGATATGTTAAAATCGACACTTATATATGCTATTCTAACAAAGTGTTGCAGATGGGTTGAAAGGAACATGACTGAGGCAAAGAGAAGAGTAAGGTGGCAATCCAAGAATTTGAGGTGAGGCATCAAGTGCCTGCCTGAGCTGAGCCAGAAGCAGAAACCTAGGCAGATTTCGGATTTGAGAAATACGTAAGCAGTAAAACAAAGGGCTAAAGGAATTATAGGAAGTATGCTGTATGTTTGTAGTTGGAGGGGGCATAAACACACAAAGTATGGAAAAAGAGACTTCAACTTAGAATATAACATCAAAATATCAATAGAAGATTAGGGGACATCTACCGAATACAATATAGCAATCATAAAGTAAAATATACACAGAAGCCAAGCATTAATACAGACATTTATGATGATAACTGGCAACTGATACTTGTCATTAGTACTAGGGAACTCAGAAACTGCAGAACTCCAGCACAAGGAAGCAGTGAATATTTGGCACCAACTGACTGCTATGCTGCAGAAATGCAAGCCCAAACAAACCTTGCTGATTTTTTACAAGGGTCAAATCACCATAAGGACTAATACTGTGTATAACAATCAATATTTTCTGGGTTAGGTTCAACCCCACAACAGGCAGTATATGGACCTTTGCCACCTGTGTAACACAGTACAAACACGATATTCCATGCAATGTAGCATAACTATCAAGGCAGGAAAGAAATGATATTTTGACTAGCAGGTCTAGAGTAAGCTAAGAATTACGAAGCATACATTTCAGAAAGTCCTTGTAAGCACTGAGTGTCTTTTGATAGAAGAATCTTAGGCACTTCCTTGGCTAAGATATTCTGTAGGAGTTTGTTTTTTTAGCATCAAGGAAAATGTTTTCATAATAATAATTTAAGACATAAAAAGAGTGTACAGAATAATGTGTGCTTCCAATTACTCCCAATAACATACTAACAACATTGGCAAAATCTCCGATTCCAAGTAATTCTGAATCTCCCTTCACAAGTCTACTGGCTCCCCCTATTATAGCCTCTATCCTGCAAGTCCAGTGATCACTAAAACATAAGAAAGATTTCTGATGGTGAATGTTAATGATAAAAGGTATTTACTGTGATATATTTATTTTCACTAACTATTCCTACAATCTGTGCCACACCACTCAATTTCCAAGGCAGAAGAAGCCATGGAATGGAATGATTAGTCACTGTCTCTACGAGTGAATGGTGAACTAAAATTTACACATGCTGACGTCACATCTCAAGATCCTTTCACATCGATCACAGGGACATTCATGATGCCAAATTAATTAATCAATTTAAAAAGATTCAAAGGTGCAAGAACACAATTTCCATTCTGTCAAAAACAGAAATGCATCCAAAAGAATATAAAGAATATAAAATAAGAATATAAAATATTTCCATTTTAGGTA